CCATAACAATTACGCATCAGTTTCACACTAACCAAGGTTAAATTATCTAATGAAAACTTGAGGTTGGGAAACTTCCCACCGCGGTTATTATACGATTTTTTCCCCATAAGAAAAAAGTGAAGTGTAATGATATTAGATATTAAGACACGGAGACACTTTTACAGTGTCTGGCTGGACACGCCGTGTCCGCCGCCTTGTCATATCCTGAGACACTCCGGGTGATGTGTCTCCCTCACCTGTGTCCCTTACACCTCCCGCTCTCACCTCAAAGTTCTCCAAGTGCAGAACTACCGTAGTTCCCTAAAAATGTTATGTCTAAGTAGTGTGTACTCCAAGGTGCTGAACTCCCTCCTTTCCACCCGTCTCTACTTCACCAGGAGCTGACACGCGCATCTTTAACCCCCTCCCTCCACCCCTCCCATCTTCACCCCCCCCCCCACCTCACCTTCCCATATCAAGAAAAGCACCGAGACAGCACCGCATCCAGGATCACGGACCGCTCCTGTGACAGGTAAGTCCACTACGGGCTTGCCATAGCCCGTGCTACTTGCCCCGCTCCTGTGCCAGGTAAGTTACGGGCTCACCATAGCCCGTGCTACTTGCCCCGCTCCTGTGCCAGGTAAGTTACGGGCTCACCATAGCCCGTGCTACTTGCCCCGCTCCTGTGCCAGGTGGATCGTATTCCAGGGACCTGCCCGAAACGCTACGCGTACTAGTGGCTGTACAAGAATGTAACAACTCTTGTATATATCTCAAAAAAAATAAAAAATAAAAGGTAAGTTACGGGCTCGCCATAGCCCGTGCTACTTGGAGCTTGTTCCGAGTAGCTGAATCCATAACAATAACTACCGCATCCAGAATACCAGAACAATAACAACCCCACAAAACGACCAGTTTACGTGAGACCTCTTAACAAGCAAACCAGCCGTCCGAAACACTTTAACTGCCGAAGCCCCTTAATCACCATCTGGCATGCCTCCACCTGACGCCACCTTAACACCCGTCACCAACTGTGCCCCACAACCAGCTCACATTTTCTCTTAGCACAGTTCCCCCTCGAACACCGTCGGCGGCTGAAAACGTCTCAACCGTTTTCTTCGATGACCGACTCCGCCCAATCCGTTCTCATAATACAGCGTCGCATTTTGACGTATACTCCGCCCAAGGAAAACAACAATTGTCGTACTTGGAAAATGGTAGCGGCTCGCGAAATTGACATACAATAAATTTCGGGAGCGTACGACAGTTTCTTGACGTTGGGAAACCTTAGGAGGACGGGCTGCTACATCCCGCCAATTATTTTATTTATTTTTTTGGTGTGCGTGTGCAACCCGTTCTCGCAAATTTAATAAGTCAATATTGACTTATTAGTTGCGTGCATAGGTGACATACTAAACATAATAGTTTCCCTTGAAAAGCTTAATAGAAAACACGGACCTTACCTAACCTACTTAGTATGTTAAAATAAGCATCTTATAGCTTCGTAATTACAATTGTTACTTAACCTATTATAGGTATAGGTTAGGTAATAATTGTAATTACGAAGTAATAAGATGCTTATCTTAACATACTAAGTAGGTTAGGTAAGGTCGGTGTTTTCTATGAAGCTTTTCAAGGGAAACTATTATGTTAAGTATGTCACCTATGCACATATTTAATAAGTCAATATTGACTTATTAAATTTGCGAGAACGGGTTGGCGTGTGCGTGCGTGCGCTCCTGTTGTCTCACCACCTCTCAAATGTTCCCAAGTGATCTTCCGCTCCTGCAGCAACAAAGCGACAATTGATTCCTCATTATGAAAATGAAATGATTGAGGCCCTTGAGCCAGGAACAAAGCAGTTAGAGGGTTTAGTAGCTGTTCCAACCTGAGACTTGCAGCTTGTCCCGCTCAAGACGTCCACTAACTTCTCCTTATAAGCGTAACTTGCCGTGTAGTTATTATTTAACAGTTACGCTCTGTATCTGTCTGTCTCGCTCTTCCCTTACCGCGCTAGTAGCAAGGAACAACGCTAAACTAATCCAATAACTGCAGCGTCTTAACCAACCACTGGTGAGCCCACAGGTGAGTACACAGGTGAGTACACAGGTTAAGTACATAAGACTGCGAGGAAGGGTAAGGTGGTTATGATAAGGAAGCGCCAAGACAGGATACAGTATAGCAGTTGGAATGGATAAGAGGACAAGGAGCTGGGATTTCTGAACTAATATGACCATCGCAGATCATACGTCTACCCTGCAAGAAATGATTCCCCACACAGCTTCCCGGCCCTGTGGACCCCAGCCCCGTGGACCCCAGCCCCGTGGACCCCAGCCCCGTGGACCCCAGCCCCGTGGACCTCAGCCCTGTGGACCCCAGCCCTGTGGACCCCAGCCCTGTGGACCCCAGCCCCGTGGACCCCAGCCCCGTGGACCCCAGCCCCGTGAACCCCAGCCCTGTGAACCCCAGCCCCGTGGACCCCAGCCCTGTGGACCCCACTAGAACGTCTAGTCATAGAAAACTTCACCAAAGGCATCCATTAAAGATTTGCTTGTGATCTCCAGCGGCGACTTGTTTATTGTGCACCCTATACTCACCCTGCCAGTGGGGAACCCTATACTCACTTCTCCAGCAGTTAAAAACTCATCCACTTGGATTCGCCGATACAGAGATGGTCCGACTTCTCGCAGGTCGGCGTTCGATCCCCGATGGTCCAAATGGTTGGGCACTGTTCCTCCCTTCCGTCCTATCCCACATCCTTGTCCTCCAAGCACTACACATCATTTTGGCTTATCGTTTTCTCTACATAATCCCCTCGCCTCCTTCCCAGAAAAAGAACCTGGGGGGGGGGGATTATGGCAACCTCAGCCCAGATTAAGTTAACTGACATGTATATTAACACGTGCCAGCTCCTCTTCTAGGAGCACCGCTCCTGTGCCAGGTAAGCCCATTAACGGGCTCACCATAGCCCGTGCTACTTGCCCCGCTCCTGTGTCAGGTAAGTTACGGGCTCACCATAGCCCGTGCTACTTGGAACTTGTTCCGAGTAACTGAATCTATAACAACAACAACAGTCCTCTCCACTTTACGGGCGGCTTAATCTTTATCAATCAATCAAGCCTCTCTACCTGTGGTGGCATTCTAGGGAGGCGACCAGACTGTCACAGGGTCGCACACAATACACAGAGCTCCTGTGAATATCACCGGACAATACCATACCTCCCCCACACTCGCTGACCAGCGCCACGCCTCCACTGGACCAATAGTCACCTTGCTCTACTACAAGCTCTACTCTATGTCACTGTTGGTCTCGCCTCTACAGGTTGGCTGTAGCCTGGCCTCTACAGGAGCCAGGCTAGCTGTAACCTCGTCTCTCAACCCGTCATCTTAAAAATAACGTCACTTTTCGCTGCTATGCGCTATGGCCAAAAATGGACGTAATTTGAAATGAAATCGGCTCATGAAAGCGATTTACTCTCCCGTCTTCTGTTCGAGTCCTCCGGCTTACTCTGTTAAGTTATAAGAGGAAAACTTTCAATTAACGTTTTTCATGACGTTTTGAAACTTTAGGTGAATTTCCTGCCCTCCTAACCTACCAGAGGACCCTTAACTTGCCGTTTTGGAAAACAGAAATCCCAAATTTATTTTAAATTTTTCATTAAAAAAAAAGTCCACTTTCGGCCATACGGGCAGATTCAGACCGTCTCTACAGGCCCTGTCAGATACCGGCCCTGTCACTGAAGCTAACGTCATACACACGTTTAAAGGTAAACACGGTAATAGATGTGTGGGAAGGTAATGCATGAAGCTATTGGAAAGTGGGGGCCAGAAGTCGACGCTCGACCTTGGCAGAGTACACCAGTCACCCTCAACCCACTCACCCTAAACCTACCTGCTCGCTCAAACGCCGCCCTCGCACGCACCATCATTGGTTACACATCCTTACCTCTGTGTGTGTGTACTCACCTAGTTGGTGTGTGTGTGTGTGTGTGTGTGTGTGTGTGTGTGTGTGTGTGTGTGTGTGTTGTGTGTGTGTGTGTGTGTGTGTGTGTGTGTGTGTGTGTGTGTGTGTGTGTGTGTGTGTGTGTGTGTGTACTCACCTAGTTGTACTCACCTAGTTGTGTTTGCGGGGGTTGAGCTCTGGCTCTTTGGTCCCGCCTCTCAACCGTCAATCAACAGGTGTACAGATTCCTGAGCCTATCGGGCTCTGTCATATCTACACTTGAAACTGTGTATGGAGTGAGCCTCCACCACATCACCCCCTAATGCATTCCATTTGTCAACCACTCTGACACTAAAAAAGTTCTTTCTAATATCTCTGTGGCTCATTTGGGCACTCAGTTTCCACCTGTGTCCCCTTGTGCGTGTTCCCCTTGTGTTAAATAGACTGTCTTTATCTACCCTATCAATCCCCTTCAGAATCTTGAATGTGGTGATCATGTCCCCCCTAACTCTTTTGTCTTCCAGCGAAGTGAGGTTTAATTCCCGTAGTCTCTCCTCGTAGCTCATACCTCTCAGCTCGGGTACTAGTCTGGTGGCAAACCTTTGAACCTTTTCCAGTTTAGTCTTATCCTTGACTAGATATGGACTCCATGCTGGGGCTGCATACTCCAGGATTGGCCTGACATATGTGGTATACAAAGTTCTGAATGATTCTTTACACAAGTTTCTGAATGCCGTTCGTATGTTGGCCAGCCTGGCATATGCCGCTGATGTTATCCGCTTGATATGTGCTGCAGGAGACAGGTCTGGCGTGATATCAACCCCCAAGTCTTTTTCCTTCTCTGACTCCTGAAGAATTTCCTCTCCCAGATGATACCTTGTATCTGGCCTCCTGCTCCCTACACCTATCTTCATTACATTACATTTGGTTGGGTTATGTGTGTGTCTGTGTCTGTCTGTCTGTCTGTCTGTCGAACATTGTGTACATGAGCGGTAGGGAGAGATGGGGAGTAAGGGGGTAGAGAGAGAGAGATGGTAAACATGGGAAGGGAACCAAGGGAAAAAGAACGTGTACTCACTTGGCAATATTGAGGCCTCTGAAGAACTTCGCGATGTCCTGGTCTGAGCTCTGCCAGGGAAGGCCTCGGGCTCGCACCACGCACGCGCTGTCCACCTCCTCCGTCCGGGAACTGCAACCAACGCTAGGAATTAGAACATAAGAATATAAGCGGACGAGGAGTCACAATAACGTGGCTGAAATATGTTGACCAGACCACACACTAGAAAGTGACGGGATGACGACGTTTCGGTCCATCCTGGACCATTCTCAATTCGATTTGACAATCGAATTGAGAATGGTCCAGGACGGACCGAAACGTCGTCGTCTTTTCACTTTCTAGTGTGTGGTTTGGTCAATACAAGAATAAAGGTGACTGCAGAGGGCCTATTGGCCCATACGAGGCAACTCCTATTTATAATCACCTAATCCCATTCATATACATGGCAATTCATATACATGTACACCTCTATCATGTCACCCTTAATTCTTCGCCTTTTCTAGATAATGTAATTTAAGCTTTGTTAATCTAGCCATGCCCTAATCCAACTTAATATAGCACCCCCAATACCATGATCCTCTATTTTTTTTAATCAGTCTTTCATGTGGCACTGTATCAAAAGCTTTGCTAAAGTCAAGGTACACAACATCACAATCCTTACCACTATCAACTGCCTCAACTATACTGAATAAAATGATTTTGTTAAACTTGTATTGTTTTGTTTGCAAATTTGTTAAACATGAACGGCCATTTGTAAAACCATGTTGTGAATCATTTATTAATTTATGTTTTTCGAGATGAAGACGAATGGTATTTGCAATTATTGATTCAAGTAACTTTCCCACAATAGATGTTAGGGTAATTGGCCGATAGTTTGACGCAAGTGATTTATCTCCTTTCTTAAAAAAATTGGTACCACATTAGCAACCTTCCACGACTCTGGCACTCTGCCTGACTCTAATGATTTATTAAATGAGGTAGAGAGTGGCTCGGAAAGCTCCTCTTTGCATTCTTTAAGCACCCTGGCAAACACTTCATCCGGCCCTGGGGATTTGTTTGGTTTGAGTTTCTCTGTTTAATATCATCCTCCCTGGTAACTGCTAAACTAGTCAACCTGTCCTCGTCCCCCCCACATAGACTTGTTCGGCTGAAGGCATATTGTTAAGTTCCTCTTTAGTAAATACAGATACAAAATATTTATTAAAAATACTACTCATCTCTTCATCACTATCTGTTATTTGACCTGTCTCGGTTTTTAATGAACCTATCCTTTCTCTAATCTTTGTTCGGTATAACTGAAAAAAACCCTTTAGGATTTGTCTTTGCTTGCCCTGTTATGCGAACTTCATAGTTTCTTTTTGCCCTCCTTATCTCTTTGCTAACATTTCTAACCAGTTGTACGAGTTCTTGTTCTAAACTGACTTCTCCAGTCTTAATCCTTTTGTGCCACGCTCTCTTTCTACCTATAAGGTTCTTCAGATCCTTTGTTATCCATTTCGAAAATATTATTTTCAGGTGTTGGTTCCTTAATGTGTTGCTTAAGGAAGCATTCGTCAATTAATTCTAGAAAAACTTCTGCTTCATTTTTCCCTGTTCTGTTAAGCCAGTTTATTCTACTAAAATTAAAGTCACTCATGACACAAATACTGTTAGACCTAGATGCTCTAGGTATTTCATACCATAGATGCGTTGCTTCCATTGTGTCTAAGTTTGGTGGCCTGTATGTAACCCATATTGTAAGATTTGTACCTCTTTCGTTTAAGTCTAGCCAAACAGTTTGTGTGTATAGGTCACTTTTGATTCCTCTTTGAGACTACATTTCAGATTGTCCCAAACATATATGGCTTCTCCCCCGCCTCGTCTAATATATCTGTGTGAAATAGTTTAATTCCATTCATTTGATATTCAGCTAATAGTTCTCTATTTTCTACATTCATCCATGTTTCAGAAAGTGCAATAATATCTATGTTTCTGTGCAGACAAGAGCATTTAAATCATTAACTTTGTTTCTTAGACTCCTACTGCTGGTGTAATATACCTTAAGTGAATTGCTATTTTGAAGCCCTTCTCCTTTCCTGTTCAATTGCCAATTTATTTCCCCTCCACAAACACATACTTTTATTACCTCCTTTCTCCATATCAACGCCCATACCACTACCAAATAACAGTTTACACACACACACACACACACACACACACACACACACACACACACACACACACACACTGACGCAATATATGGGTGCTTGTGGTGAGCAATACAAGTCAGAGTAGGTAATTATGGAGGGACTAGGCCAGAGACTGTGGCCTGATGTGGTGCTCACTACTCACCACTATATAAAGCATACACACTGAGAGCACGCGCGCGCGCACACACACTGAGAGCACGCGCGCACACACACTAAGAGCACGCGCGCGCGCACACACACTGAGAGCAGTTCAGATACCTTACTGATCATTAGCGCCCACACTCCAATTAGCATAAGTTAAGGTAACCAAGAGAACGCTCTAAAATGCACATTAATAATCTGGTCAGAATAATAATTATTGAAAGTATGCAAAACAAATTTTTTTGAGACGACAAAAAATCATGTAAAATTAGCACGAAACATGGTCGCTTTGGACTTAACTCTAGTATATATTTACTTAAACGGTTAGTGAAGGTGCCAAGTACGTATGTACAGGCGCACACGTACGTACACAGTAAATAGGTATTAGGGAGCTAGACAGCTTTCTCTTTATGTAGTTTATTGATGAAAGCAGTATATGGTGAAGGGTAGGGAAGGTGGTGAAGGGTAGGGAAGGTGGTGAAGGGTAGGGAAGGTGGTGAAGGGTAGGGAAGGTAGTGGAGGGTAGGGAAGGTAGTGAAGGGTAGGGAAGGTAGTGAAGGGTAGGGAAGGTAGTGAAGGGTAGGGAAGGTGGTGAAGGGTAGGGGAGGTGGTGAAGGGTAGGGAAGGTGGTGAAGGGTAGGGAAGGTGGTGAAGGGTAGGGAAGGTGGTGAAGGGTAGGGGAGGTGGTGAAGGGTAGGGAAGGTAGTGGAGGTAGGGAAGGTGGTGAAGGGTAGGGAAGGTAGTGGAGGGTAGGGAAGGTAGTGGAGGGTAGGGAAGGTAGTGGAGGGTAGGGAAGGTAGTGAAGGGTAGGGAAGGTAGTGAAGGGTAGGGAAGGTAGTGAAGGGTAGGGAAGGTGGTGAAGGGTAGTGAGAAGGTAGCGAGGATAGTGAAGATGCTGCTAGTGGTGACTGATATGCACAAAGTCATACAGAGACCATGAAATTATGATAGTGATGGTGTCATATAGTGATACATATGACAGTGAAAATGAAGACAGGCCCACGTCACCGTGGACCCCCCCACGTCACCGTGGGACCCCCCCACGTCACCGTGGGACCCCCCCACGTCACCGTGGGACCCCCCACGTCACCGTGGGACCCCCCCACGTCACCGTGGGACCCCCCCACGTCACCGTGGGACCCCCCACGTCACCGTGGGACCCCCCACGTCACCGTGGGACCCCCCCACGTCACCGTGGGACCCCCCACGTCACCGTGGGACCCCCCACGTCACCGTGGGACCCCCACGTCACCGTGGGACCCCCCACGTCACCGTGGACCCCCCACGTCACCGTGGCCCCCCCACGTCACCGTGGCCCCCCCACGTCACCGTGGCCCCCCCACGTCACCGTGGACCCCCCCACGACAACCGTGGACCCCCCCACGACAACCGTGGACCCCCCCACGTCACCGTGGACCCCCCCCCACGTCACCGTGGACCCCCCCCCACGTCACCGTGGACCCCCCCACGTCACCGTGGACCCCCCACGTCACCGTGGCCCCCCCCACGTCACCGTGGACCCCCCACGTCACCGTGGACCCCCCACGTCACCGTGGACCCCCCACGTCACCGTAGACCCCCCACGTCACCGTGGACCCCCCCACGTCACCGTGGACCCCCCCACGTCACCGTGGACCCCCCCCCGTCACCGTGGCCCCCCCCCGTCACCGTGGCCCCCCCACGTCACCGTGGACCCCCCCCACGTCACCGTGGACCCCCCCACGTCACCGTGGACCCCCCCACGTCACCGTGGACCCCCCCCACGTCACCGTGGACCCCCCCACGACAACCGTGGACCCCCCCCCCCACCGTCACCGTGGACCCCCCCCCACGTCACCGTGGACCCCCCCACGTCACCGTGGACCCCCCCACGTCACCGTGGACCCCCCACGTCACCGTGGACCCCCCCACGTCACCGTGGACCCCCCCACGTCACCGTGGACCCCCCCACGTCACCGTGGACCCCCCCACGTCACCGTGGACCCCCCCACGTCACCGTGGACCCCCCCACGACAACCGTGGACCCCCCCACGTCACCCCCCCCCCCCACGTCACCGTGGACCCCCCCCCCCGTCACCGTGGACCCCCCCCCCACGTCACCGTGGACCCCCCACGTCACCGTGGACCCCCCCCCACCGTCACCGTGGACCCCCCCACGCCACCGTGGACCCCCCCCCACGTCACCGTGGACCCCCCCCACGTCACCGTGGACCCCCCCCCACGTCACCGTGGACCCCCCCCACGTCACCGTGGACCCCCCCACGTCACCGTGGACCCCCCACGTCACCGTGGACCCCCCACGTCACCGTGGACCCCCCCACGTCACCGTGGACCCCCCCACGTCACCGTGGACCCCCCCACGTCACCGTGGACCCCCCCACGTCACCGTGGACCCCCCCACGTCACCGTGGACCCCCCCCACGTCACCGTGGACCCCCCCACGTCACCGTGGACCCCCCACGTCACCGTGGACCCCCCCACGTCACCGTGGACCCCCCCCGTCACCGTGGACCCCCCCACGTCACCGTGGACCCCCCCACGTCACCGTGGACCCCCCCACGTCACCGTGGACCCCCCACGTCCACCGTGGACCCCCCACGCCACCGTGGACCCCCCCACGTCACCGTGGACCCCCACGTCACTGTGGACCCCCCCCCACGCCACCGTGGACCCCCCACGTCACCGTGGACCCCCCACGTCACTGTGGACCCCCCACGCCACCGTGGACCCCCCACGTCACCGTGGACCCCCCACGCCACCGTGGACCCCCCCACGTCACCGTGGACCCCCCACGTCACTGTGGACCCCCCACGC